CTTTATTAGCAACATTTAATTAGCATAGTGCCCGGTGTATAGTAAGTGCTCTACAAATATTTTCTGAATGAAAAACGTAAGTCATCAAGAAGCCTACATGAAAGTTTTTTTCACCAAATCTCGGTGATGGGTACAACTTATTCTCTAAAACTCTGGAGGATATTAGTAAGGAAAGCTTTAGTATCAGATGGCCTTACATTTTAAATGCAGGCTCTACCATTTCTTAGCTGTGTGACAGTGGTTTAAGTCACTAAACCTCCCTGAGCTTCGATTTCCTAATCTATGCAATGGAGCTAATAATGAAATATTATTTAGGGTTTGATTTTGAAGATTTGCAATAATATTTATAAAGAGTATGACACACACACTACTCAATAGATGGTGATTATGATAATGAAGGGAAACGCAGATTCTCATCAGCAAGTTAATCCCTTTGTCCCAGAAATGGGCAGGCCCTCCCAACACCGGCCAAGGTCAGGGCTGCCATCAGCCAAGGTAGGCAACATTCTCATTTTCACTTTCAAAGTCAAGAAAATGGTACAGATCTAAAGTAGAAAGGAACCAGCAGCACATGTTTTTAAATATTCATAAGGGCTGGAAATGTCTTACTCCTTTCGTTTTCTCTGCCATCTGCTTTTGTTTCTTTTCTTTTCATTCTTATGCCACAGCTGCAAATGAAAACAACCATACAATAACTCAAGTTAAATAAAAAAAAAAAATCAAAATAAAAACAATCTGAGGGGTAAAAAGAAAAGATGAATTACAAAGTTTTCCCCTGAGCTCACAAGGCAGTAGAAGTAAGAATGTTTGATGTGAGTTAAATCTTCTGGAAACCAAAATCCATGTCCCATGTTTATAATAACCATGATAAGAGCAACCACCATTTACTAAATGGCCCCTGTTTGCCACTTGATGACCAGTCTCTCAAATTCTAAAGCCACTCTTCAAAGTAGGTAAATTAAACCCACTTTACAGAAAAAGATACAGCAAGTCAAAGAGATAAAATAGATTTTTAATTGTTACACAGCTAATAAGAGACAAAATTGAGATTTGAATCCAGGTTTGTCTGAATCCAAAGCCCAGGCAGCACTTTCTCTACCATCCTCTCCAAAAATGGGAAGGGATTTGAAAAATTTAATTTGGGAAATATTTAGGGCAGACCATTTGTACTAAACGGATTTATTCAGATAATTAAAATCTGTGATTATAACTCTAATTAAAGTTAACTCAGATAATTGGTTGCTGTATTTGTGAATGTGCAATTAGAGTCTTCCACATAATTGTGAGGTTTTCGGCATCATACTTTCCATTTATTCACCGCGGCCCAGAGCTTTGCTCTACTGGCCTCTGTTCTACCCAAGGCTGTATTCTATAGCTCTTGGGGTCTCTGGGCCCAAGGACCATGACTTGTGATACCAACAGCAGGATCTGGACTCAGCCCCATTTAACATGTCTTTGTCCAGAAGTCAATGAACACCTCATCTTCAAGTGCAATGTAAAAAGCTCTCACAGCCTACACTGTTGTCCTGAAAACCCCTAGCAGCATGTACCTGAAGAAAAACTGGCAGCAGTGGTCCTCATGTGTTAATTACACTTTCGAAGTCTATTATGCATAGAAAGGGCACCTGCTGGCAGTGAAAATGACTAGAATCTGCCCTTCCTGTGCAGTGAGTAAATTGAGAGTTCATTTCTACAGGAGATAATAGTTTTCAGATTCCATTTCGTGTATCCCCTGCATGGGGACATACTTAACATTTAAAACATCTGCAGAGGAACAAACCTCCTTCAAATTTACATGTTTCAAGCTCCTAGCACTTTACTTAAAATGCTAGTTATCCCTGCTGGCTCTTACCACCAAGGATTAAACTCAACAGTGGTGAAAGTCACCGAGCACAATAGAATAAAGTTATTAGCATTGACTCAAATTTCATGACATTTGTAGTTTCTGACCAAAGCAGTTGGTAGCAGGCTGAAGGTGATCAAATCAAGCCTTGAATGGAAGATCTGTTTTTTCTCTTGGGGGTCTTTTATTTCCACATTCTTAACATCTTGTAGTTAATAAACAGATACCAATCTCCACTGGCCTGTAATCATCCTTTGGTCAAATGTCAAAAAAGTTCTTTTGTGAAAACAAGAGACCAGGAGAGGGACTGCTATCATATACACAGAAACCTCCAAGATGGAGCCTAGTCACAAAACCCACTCAGGCTCTGAAAAATACAAGTCTTAGCTTTTTTTGGAGTGGAAGTTGGGGTTGACAAGGACTTAGGAGCCTTCAACTGTCGGGTCTTCCCTTCTAAGGTAGACCCGCCAGCATCATCGCTCTTGGGCAGGCTGATGACACAGTTCAGGAGAGGGGTGGGGTTAGAGAGGAAGTTGGAAAGAGGATCTCGGATCACCTTCCACAGGAGAAGAGCAAAACAGCCAATAAATCCTTTAAGCAAACAAGAAAGGAGGGCTGGAAAGAACAACTGGCTAGAATACTGATTTTTTAAAATGAAACTTTTCAAGTATAGAAACCATACTTTTTTGTTGTAGAAACAGAATAACATAGAACAAAATAAAATAAAAATCACACTGAGTTCCTCTCCCTCCTCCCCATCACAAACCCTGCTAACACTGTGGTGTGTTTCCTCTTAGATCTCTGCCTGTGTGTGTGTGTGTGTGTGTGTACACACAAATATACATATACACACATACATCTACATACATCTACATATGTATACACACCTTTTTGTGTTTTATAGACACACGTTTGTTTTTATAAAAACGGAATCATACAATACAATGATATCTATATTGGAACAAGTTACTAAACTTCTTGGGGCCTTGGTCTCCCAATCTGTGAAATGGAGCTAATGATACCCACCTCCCAGGGTTGCTAGAAGAATTAAGTGAGATCACAGACTGGGACACAGGAGATGTTCAACTCTGGCGGCTATTGTTACCACTGGAACTGACAAAGCCTTTTTCTCTGCACAGTTCTGGGAATGTAAGCTGCTAGTTTTAAGCTAGCTAACAATTTAGCAACCAAAGCTTTTGAAATAATAGAATAATAAAGTCGTACTATTTGGGAGGCAGAGAAACTACAATGACGCTGCCAGGTCCTACCAATACCTGCACACAGAAGCCCATTTGTGCTCCCATCTGAAGTGCAGCATCAAGACACACAGGTGAGTCTTTTCCAGGGAAAACTCTAAGGTTTCCTCTTAAAGCACATGTCTGAGGTGAGGTGTGCAGGGTGGGTGTCTCTCCATGGGGGGATCACAGACGTGTGCAAAGGGAAGGGACGTGTGTGTGTGTGTGTGTGTGTGAGAGAGAGAGAGAGAGAGAGAGAGAGAGTGTATGGGGGCCACGTGCCTGTGTGGGGGTAGGTGTCTAGGAGAGTGTTCTATGTTGGGGCTGGCAGCAGGCTTCCATGTGCTAAGGGGACTGGGAATCACTGTGAGTCTGTCTTAGGAACATATGTCCCCTTTCTACCTTTTCCGTCTATTCCTCTCACTACCCTCCTCCACCTCTGTCTGTTTCTTCCCCCCTCCCACGCCCCTCTCTCCTTCTTCCTGTCTGAGTGTCGGTGTCCTCCTCCACCCAGCCCCCCAGTCTTTCATTCAAACAACAACAAACACTACTGGATAGCAAACATGGTCCTCTCCTTTGAGACACATGGCAGTATGGAAAAAACCAAGGTAGCTGGTTTAGAAGCTCAAAAGGAAGCGGCAAGTCTAAGCAGAGGATTAGTCCCTTAATTTCATAGGAAGTGGGAGAAAGGCACAAATAAGAACAGCTACCTTGATAAGAAAGATACATAATTGAGAGAGAAATGAGCTGATTCACTTAGTGCTATGCACTGGAGAGGGCCACTGATTTTCACCTGATGGCCCTGAGCTACATCTTGGTTGTATACACTGCTTCTTGGGATGAGAGTGAGCCCAACACATTCAAACTAGGAGTACTGCAGAACACCCTTAAGCTCCCAGGACAATCTGGCTACTTCAGCGAACCATCTCAAGTGACAGGATTGCAAAATGGGCTGGAAGAACCCAGCAAAGATTATGACTGACCTGATGGTAAATGTCCTAAAATCATCTGTTTTTAAGTGACAGGGCTGTGACCCCTCAATGGGTCCCTTTCTCCTGAAGCTCTTAATTTCTGGCAGGCAGTACCTTTACCCACATATGTACAGTGCTCCCTTATCAACAACTGCTGACTTGAGCTGTCTGGAGACAATGTCTTTAATCACATTATGCTAGAGAAAGAAATTATTCAGAAAGAAAACAGATCCAAATCCGTTACACAGTCTTTCTTGGTAATCTATCGAGGACAGATAGTGACAATATATCTGCGGAAACATTTACTGAGCCCTTACCACGAGCCAGCTTTTCTACATCGTGTCCCTTCATCTCCTGTATCATTTATCTTTATATATTACATATGGAACAACTTCATTTTGCAGATGAGGAAACAAAGTCTTAAGCCAAGGGACTTGACCAAGGTGGTAGAGCTGACACTAAAGCCACTTGCCTTCCTTCCACTAAAATACATTTCCCTCAACAGTGAAACTCCCATCAAAAAACTGCAGAGGGTTTTGAAGTCTGGCTTGTACGCCCAAACCACAGCTGAAAACGAGTCCTACAGAATGTGCCAGGGTATGGCTGAAACTTGAAGACCTCAGGGACCCCAACTGTTTTCACCAGGCTCCAATCCATCTTGGGGGAAAAAGAAAAAAAAAAAAAAAATATCACACCACTACGTGGTGCTTTGGTCTCTCCAAAGTGAGAGATGGGAAAAGATCCACGGCCTTGAACTCTGCAGAACGCCATGGCATAGCTGAAAGCCATTTGGAAACAAAAGGGCCATGCAATCACCTGGTCTAAAATTCACCTCGTTTTGAAGTTAGTAGTTTCAGTTTAATCACCAAATGCATTATGAGGGGCAGCCCTAATGTCCTCAGTAGGTGCTGGAGAAGGGAAAGCAGGGGACGGAGTAAGCAGCAGCCTTACCAGCAGTAGTCCAGCAGATGTGGAGGCAGGACGGGGATGTACACGTGCTGCCAGAACATGGGGTACAGCATGGCGGCGGCCCCGTGGATGCAGGCGGTCAACTGCAATACAAGCAAACCAAAACTTCAGAGCCAAGAAATCCACATGCGGAGACACTGTTGTTGGAGGTGAGCAATAAAATTCAATACCTACTTCTCGACATTTTTAAAAATAGGAGTTAACCACTAGAATTCAAATTTAGTAAGAGCTTGCTTTTCCTAAGAAATCTTCCTCCCCACCCTGATTATGAAGCTAATGCACAACGACAGTAACAAATTTAGAAAATGGAAAAAGGGGCAAAAGAAAATAAAAGCCTTTCACCATCTGAAGATAACCTGATATTTTGGGGAATTACCAACAAAGCACTTTTATTCACCTTTCTAATAAAATTAGGATTACTGTAAATACAGTGCTCATTTGCCTTCTTTTAAAGTTTGTTTATTTGCTGGCATTTTCCCACATCCTTAAATATTCCTAGAACACATACCTTTTAATGACACTCAATGAATTTCCCACACTATATTTAACCACTCTCCCAACATTACAATATATAATCAGATCATGTCAATAATTTTAATACATGGTTCCTAGATGTAAGATTCAGAGACAGTACTATAATTTAAATATAATAAGAGTATTAATATAATAAATAATGGATGGAGGCTCTTTACACTCCCACAGCCATGCACTAGAATGTTCTCTCCATACCTCACCAGGGCTAAGAACTGTAGTCAAGTTAGTAGCTTTGGAAGTGTATCTATTTGGATTTTATTTTTATTCCTCTGATCATGTCTAAGGCTTAGCATCTTGTCACGTTTCTTGGTTATATTTCCTAGATAAATGGTCTGTTCAAATTCTTAGTCCACTAATGAGTATCAGCATTTTTTAAAAGTGATTTACAAGCAAACACTGGATAGACAAAGGATACTAATTGTAATGTTTCTGAAAATAACTTATCCTTCTATAATTTCCTTTGAATTGGGCGGGGGGGGAGAGAAGGTTTAAATAATTTCACAGACAAATCTTATCCTTCATGATGGTTTCTACTGCTGTTATACTGAGAAAGGCCTTCAAATTCTTCCCCAGCATTTAACTCTTTAATCCATCTGGAATTAATTTAGGTTTAAGGACAGAGGTGAGAATTTATTTTTTCCACATAGTTAATCAATTGCCCAAGCACTGTTTACTGACTAATCCTTCCTCTCCCTCTTCTTTTGACATGCCCCTATTTCATATTCCTTCTTTTTCTTAAGAGCTAGACATATCCTATCAGGATCTGATATAATTAAAAAAATTGGGACAGAGATATAATAGAATAAAATTGCTACAAAATTCAGTATAGTGAAAGAAGGAAAAAAAAAAAACCTCAACACCTTTGGAGATATGGCTATGAAGTGACAAAAGCCAACAACACATGTTTCTTTCTGCCTTTTTTCTTTAATGTTTCTTTGGTTTCTGGGAAGCCTGTTCCCATGAGGTCTTTGCTTCTTTTGGAAGCTGTTAACTGGCCTTTGCTGACAGAAGGACATTTACGTGGCGAAAGAGTGACGTGCCAAGGCCCAGTTAAAAGAATCCCAGAGGTTAGTGTAACATGAACAGCTTTAAATTGGATATTCTGCTGATGTTTCCCAGTTGTGAAAGCTGTGTATTAAATCCACGGCCGCTACTTTCTTCCCCCTCCTTCTCCCTCCAGACCCTGTTCTTTAGATCAGGTACATGTCATGAACAGGAGCTGATCCAGCAAGCTCTCAAGAGTTGTTCCCAGCGACTCTGCCAAGGCTTGTAGGTTTAATCCATCCCTTCTCAACCCATTTCAGTAGGATTCCATATAGAGAAGGCTGTCATATTTTACATGACCTATCTCTTCAGGGTTAGAAGAGATGAAAAATCTTTGCTGGTGTTGAATGGGGAGAAAATGAACAAACTTCACTCCAACTGCACCCTGAAGTCAGGCTGGAGGGTGCCCTGGCTTTGGGCTCCAGTTCTTCCTGCCCATCCTTTAACTAGCTGTCAAAGGACTCATACTAAAGTACAGGTCCAGTCATGTCACATCCTCCTTGGAAGTCTCTGCGGGCAAGTCGGGAGCAGGCCTGAAGCTACCTCTCCAGGTAGCTTCCAGTCTACCTGGAGAGCAGCATCTCCAGACACAGCCTCTACCACCTTCTCCAGGTTTATCCTTTGAATAAGTCGTTTCAGACTTAGGGGTAGCTATGTACTCCTTTCCTGGATCTGTGCCCCTAGCAAACTCCTCCTCTGGGTCTCTGTGAAAGCACTACTTTCCTCGCATGGCTCTTCTGGGCATAAGTCCCCATTATTATGGGCCTATTCCTGTCCTCTCACTGTAAACTCCAGGAGGACCCTGCCCCTCTTCTTCCCCTTGTTCTAGGGGCACAGCATCTGTGCAAGTGCGAGTCGATGCAATGTTTCTTCCATAAATAAAAAACAATTCCTACTTAAAATATATTCACAATATAAACATAGTGAGTGACCTGGCTTTTAACTAATGGACCAACATTTTCCTGAGTCTCACAGAGTGGGGTATAGGACTCAAATTCCAAAACAATAATGGCAAGCTTAGACACACAAATATGCCACTTTTGGGAAGTCATGTCAATGGATTCATTCTTTCTTTTCTTTCTTTCAATAATATGCCTATTCTGTAACTCTACAACACATCAAATAAATAAGTAAAAGCACTTTAAAATCTCTAAGGTGCTGTACAAATATAAGATGTCCTCATCACATTAATTCATTTGTAATTCTCTTTGGAAAAGTCATTCCATAGAATGTTCCTGGTTGAGACAGAACTTGATTATTTCCCCCTTTTTAGCTTGAATTGGTTTGAGTCAAAATCCTATTTCAAGCAATAAAGCGACAGAGATCTTATCTCCAATGTTCTTTTCATGTCTCCTTTCCCTCAAAAAGACCTAAAAGCTAAATGTCAAGATTATAAAATTACCTATCCCTCATAAAAATTGAACTTTAAAGGTGCTTGATCATCATCCTCATTGGCGGTTTTCTAAAAGCCAAATCTCTAATTGGAGTAAAACGCATTTATCCATTTGGTTAAGAAAACAAACAAACAAAAAAGAGAATTGTTTGGCTCCTTTCCAAAATGCAAAGTGGCAAAACAATGCACATCGTTACTTAGGAATAGTGGTGAGTCAACCACAAGAAAAGTGTTATGACTTACCTGTGCTTAATCAGAAATAATATTATATCCCATAAATTATCATTAGCCACTTATTTTAAAAACAACTGTAAGGCCAACTCCATTTGTAAAAATAAGGTTCCTAAAAGCCTATGCTCATTCTTTACAGAATACAAAATTTTAAAGTAATGAAAGTATACAATTTGGATTATAGTCAACAAAGGGGTATTCTGAATATTTAATTGAAGTGCAAGTTGAAGAAAATGATCCTATCAAAATCTCACTCGGTGGGAGAATAGAAAGATAGTATGTGTAAAATTTGCCCAAAGTCATTAGTCACAATGAATATTCATCAGAAGCCAATTATCAATCCCATTTAATGACACCCCAAAAGATTTTGCCCTGAAGCAGCTGAATAGTCTAAGACTCCAGACAAAACTAGACAAATTATACAGCCAACAGCCAGTCTAGCCAGGACACAGATTGTAAAGTAAACCACTGGTGGGTTTCTAGACGCACTTTTAGCAAATTCAGTCCTCAATTAAAGGTGCACAAGGTCAGTTCTATCTTGGAGCTTTCTGTATGGCTCCATTAGTTTTCTTTGAGGCAAAGGGAGAGAAAGACAGACAGCAACAGGGATAGGACAGGGAGAGTGATCAATGACAGAGCTGGAAAAATCACGAAGAATTATGTGTGTGTATGTATTTTTTTTTCTTAGTTTAAGGTAGTTCTCAGATATAATGCCCAGATAGCCACAGTCTTCGATTCTAGTTCCTTGGCTGATTCCTAATGGTAGCTCTGCAGTTTAACATGAAACAAAAGTAAGAGTCTCCCCTTAAAACAAACAAATAAGAAAAAAAACCCCCAAGGAATCCCCACAGTATACATACCAGGTACCGTGTTAGCGGTTTGGGATACTGCAAAGTATTGTTTTAGAAGTGTGCATGTTTACATACGTATACACTCATCGCCATATTTCACAGATGCAGAAAACAGCCTCAAAGGTGAAATAACTTACCCAAAGCCACACGGCTCATAAGTGACAGAACTGGGACTCACATCCAGGTCTGTCAGACTATAATGGCCACTGTGTTTCCACAATGTATAAATTAACTAAAAAGATTTTTGACTGCCTACCCTGTGCCTACACACCATGCTGAGGAGCCTGAACTAGGTGTGATACTGTTCCTACCAGCACGGCCAAATTACATAGAAATATGTTTGCCTTGCTGTTAGATGACCAAATTACTGGGGTAAAATACCAATTAACAGAAAATAATCATTTTGAAAACAAACACAGATCTGATAATTTCCCGGGGGTTAGTTATACTTAACTAGGGTGTTGTATTGTCTTTAATCCACTGGAAATTCTAGACAAGGGCATAATGATTGCTGGTCAAACGGAAAGGCTTACACCCCAATCTGGCACACTATTTCAAAGTCTGGCTTTCTGTCATGTTTCCTTTCATATACTTGCATAGAGCTGCCATTAACTCTCTTTTTGATCTGAGCAAGCCGCTTCCTCTCCTGGGTCTCAATTTCACCTACAGGGAAAACAAGAAGTTGGAGTCTGTCATCTTCTGTGCCCTCTTCCAGCTTTGACAATTTCTGATCTAGAGGAATTACCATCCTTTGACGTGAAGAATGTGCCTCCCCTGCCCCAGCTCACCTTCTTCAGCTATACCAAGTATAAGTAAAACAGGGTCTGTCTCAAAGCTTGTCTTACTTTTTCAGGTCTGCAGTTACAGGGGCCTACCTGGAATTCCTGTGTTACCTTGGAACTACCACGTTTCAGCCACCGCAGCCCTAATACCTGACCGTGGAAGGCACTGCCTTCCCCAGTGCTTGGCCCCCAACACTCTGGATATCTCAGAGGTAGATGACCTTAGGAGACCAGGGGGCATGAAACTA